TACTTCAATCCATTGATATGAAAAGTAATTAAATTATTTGTTAATTGTGTAACTTTACTTATTAATTTCTCAATAGCACTAATTAATTGCCTACTGTCACTTCTTAAATAACACTTGATATCTTACTTGTTCAAAACATCAAACTTGTAACAAATTCATTACTTGTGAAATTATTGTCTTAAATTGTGAACTATATAATATTACTTGTTAACCTAATAGCATTACTTGATAATGTGTGTCATCACTTTCCAATTTACATTTCATCTCTAATTACAAATGAGCAATCATCAAATACATTTCATCTCTAATTGCATTTCAGTACAAGGAAGTTTTGCTGTCAACTTAAATGCCATATCTAATTACAAAAGAGAGAATATAAAAAGGGCACATACTTCGACAACGCAATTGCCTTTTCTTCCAGGCTGACTTGATATTTGAAATTAATGAAAGGGCTACTGCAAATTTTGAATTAGATGAATGGTCCACTAGCCACATAAAACAAGTCAAATCTTAAGGCAGATAGTTCATCCTACAGGATAATCATTCACAAGATTGATATATATGATACTTATTACAATAACATTAATTGTATGATATTGAAATAGATTCTTGAACTAGATCTTGCAAAGATTTACATTTAAGTTATTTATTTAATATCACTTGTTAACTTCCTATATCAGACTTGTTAATTTTCTAGGTTTGTTTATCACTATGCTTCATATTTACAAACCAGCAAACCCAACTCATTAATCTCTTATACCAGTGTTGTTAATTTCCAAGGTTTATTTGTTATTATACTTCATATAATTTACAAACCAACAAACCCACATTTTATTCAACATTGCTTGTTAATCTCTTATATCAGTGTTGTTTATTTGCTAAGTTTACTTGTTATTAAGCTTCATACAACTTACAAATCAAAAACCAGCTGACATATATGTTGTTAAACTAGGTGTCTTCTCAACAACTCGATGACTTATCAAAATCATAACAGAGAAGCCGGTGTCGGTTAATAAACATCACTGTAACCAATTTACCCATAATCTAGCTCTGCATGTTCATTTTTATCGAAGCCTCCCCTATTGTACATGAATGAGTTTTACTCGCATTGAAATTTTCAATACAAAACAAGAATGAGAGAAAATTTGAGCCGGAAAAAGAAGTCTCAGCAATAATAAGTAATTCTTTCTGGGATATAGCTATGTCGTTTGGTCTAGCTATTTCAACACTTGAGTGAGAAGGAGGGTAGAATTGTAGACAGAGGAGAGCGTTTAAGCAAATCTTCAAAGCCAGTTAACATTAATGTATGTGTCCGTGAAAATTTATAAAAAAAAAAAAGGACTATAATCAAATGAAGGCAATTTTAATATGTGGAATCTATTGATTGCAGTGCAGTCAATGTGATTTTGATTCTGAATATATCATTTCAAATTAGTGAGTTTATCCACATTTAATGTGAAAACACAGATACTTGTGGGACCAGTTGCAACCCACCGTATTCAGCTTAAGTCTGACGAACGCTCTATGGAGCCTAACATAAGGAGGAAATGAAGAATCATACCTTTGGAAGAACAAAATCCAGTTTTGCCAGCTACATTTTCAAGAAAAAAGATAATCGTTTTCTATCAGATCTCTGCTCCATCTTTGCTATTTTGACCCGTCCTCGGACCGTCGGCACCTGAACAGAGCTTTCTGTCGAGAATCACTGGTCCGAGATCCAAGCCCATGTTTCTCGCTTAGTAACTTGAGTCCCTACATTATCAGTCTTTGTAAAGGGAAGGAATGTGGGTCTTTTTTTTTTTTTTTTTTTTTTGGGTGAAGGAATGTGGCTCTTTTGATCATTGAGATTGATTTTAGTCTTCCTAGATTAAAGTGAAAATTCAGATTTTAATGAGTTTCATTTGTGATTATGTCACATTCCTAATTTTGTATTGAAATTCTCCCTTATCTAAATTCCTTTTGATTTCAACTTTTTTATAATTAACGCACTTTTGGTATGAACCTCATGTCATTATTACCTGGATATAAAATATATGTGTGTGTGTGCGTGTAGTTGTCTCATGAATGTTTACCTTTCATTCCAATCTAATATTAAAATTTGAATATTTTAGTTGGCCCAAAAAAAAGTGAAGATTTCAATAATGTAGAGAAGATTCAAAAAACTGTGTCATGAATTGCTATGCAAACTAAAAATACTAAAATAGCATACCTCACATGCACATGTAAATACTCTATTCAAACTATAATATAAGTTATTGTTAATTAATTTATATTTTTTAAAAAAGTGGTAGAAAATTTAAAATCTTGATTAGTTTTAATTTCATGCTTTATTATCATATCCTTGAGAATAATAAATATAATATTTAACATATTCAAAACACTCTCGTTAATTACTCAATAAAGTAAATATATAACTAAAAAAAATTAGTGTTTTATATTTTAAATCAAGTAAAATTTTTAAAAAATGACTTATATATAGCTTAGAGGGAAGATAAATTAAAAGAATGCTTCTAGAATGTTCAAGAGAAAAAAAGAGGAGAAAATCAGAAAACAAATGTTATAAGGCGTCAACAAGAAGCTAGAGCAAAAGGAGAAAGGATCAATGCTAGAGATACATTAGAGAGACAGCTATACACATAGATAAATTAATATCACGTGGATGTTCTAATAATAGGTATCCACAAAAGCAATACAATATGAGTTTTATTGGTCACTAACTTGACAATTAACATTATCAGTAAATACAACATAATTAAACACTATTTTTGTGACTTCTTTTGTCGATCCCCATATTTCAAACTCTTTCACATTACATCACAATCTTTTGTTTTTGTTTTTTTTTTTAAAACACCATACTGTAAAATCGTTACAGGTTAAATTTGAGTGCATCTAATTCTCTCTTTTTTAAAAAAATTGTTTATCTTTTTTTGAAAATAATGTTAATTCTCATACTGTATTGATTTTAGATGACAAAAAATACATATAATATAGTTTGGGGAAAATAGTATATAAAGACGATCATAGAATCTTATATATATATATATATATATAATAAACTTTTTCAAATCACACTTAAAAAAAAAAACAGAGAGAGGATCATATAAAAATAATAATATGAAAATAGAATATAATCCTGTGACGGACACATAAGGGAGAGGCGTGGGATGAGTCTGCTTTAATGAGAAGAATAAGGGAAAGGGAGTAAATGAAGACTTTTAATGATTGTGGAAACTGGAAGCGTCGTTTGTGTATTGCGACATTTCACTTATTTTCCTTCCTTCCTTCCTTCCCAATCCATTTATGCCATCACCCTCTCCCACCCACCCCTTGTATCATCATACATCCAACCAATTTTTTAAAACTGCTCTCATAGATTTTTTTTTTTTGAAAGAATGATATGCAGAAACATGAGCAAAAATAAAAAATAGATTATCATTAAAATAAAAATAATAATTTTTTTAAAAAATATTTGTTATTGATTTTTGTTTGTAAATAATTTTCTTCTCATGTCTTTAAATGTGATTCTTTCTTCTTTTTCTTTTGATCAAAGACAATCATATTCAACACACAGTTAGATACACTAAATGTAAGCATTTTTTTTTATAAATAATTTGAACATTAGTTTGTGATATGGTAAAAAATCAGTTACTTGTTGGACACAATCTCTATTAATCATATCCATCCAATTATCTTCTCTTATTTCTTCATCATCTCACAATTAAGGAATCAAAAACTTATTCATACAATTCAAATTTTGTAATTTTGTAATTTTTTATTGTTGTTTTTAATTTATGCATTTTCCTAGTTATTCTTGAAAATATAAAACAAAATGAGTTGGCCAGATTATTTGCATCAATTGCGTGTGTGTGTGTGTGTGTGTGTGTTCCAAAAAAATACATGGATATGTGGGGAGTCAATTTGCTTCTCCCCCAACTCTTCCATTACGTACAAAAATTTCGGTCTGGTATCACCGGCCACCGACTTATGGACCCCTCAATTTCCTATAATGCCCCATCTTGATCTACTCTTCCTTCCCCAACATTCCCTTCTTGTTTGGTAAATTTTTATTAAACTAACGTGTGTAATATACCTAACCAAAAAAATCACAGGTATAGGTTTTGTATAAAGTTTGAAAAAAATTATGAGCTATGAATGATGCAGCTCATTAAATCTCTTTTAGATACATAGGTAGATTGCAGGTATATAATGAGTCATAATATTCATGTTCATGAATAGTATTTTTTATTAATTTTGTATTATACAAAATATTGATGTTGATAATTGATTTCTGTTTAAAAAATTAAAACTAAAGATTTTTCCAATGATTAAAATTATGTCAAACTTTAAATAACTTATTATCAAATTTTTTTAAGATTACTAATAATTTTATGGGTTTAAATATTGAATTTAAAAAATTGAATCGATAATTATAGATTTTTCCTTCTTATTTTCAATTGCCTCCATGCTTCAAAGCTTGCACAAGCCCCTTGTAAAAAATATTGTATTATGAAATTCTTCTTACAAGCAAACGATACTCAAACCCTAAATATTTAAAAATAATATGATCCTTGTCTGCAAGATAAAGCCAAACAAATACATTGTAACAATATCTTTTTATCAAGAGCTAACCAGTCTAAATCTCCGAGCGTGAAATTTACTTTTAAAATTAAGAATGCGATACGATTGACAAAAACATTTATTAGAAGCTGGATGCAAATAATACCCAAACAACCCAAATGTCCAGTCAAATATTAATGCGGACATATTTTTTAGCCTTAAATGCAACAATCTCAATAGCTTTTTACGTGTACAAGGGGGGAAGGGTACACATTGTTGCTGAAGCTTCAATTTTTTGCAGCAAAGCACGAGTAAAAGACATGTCTTGTTAGGTAATTTCACGGCTAGCAGGTGAAATGCGCATTTTCAGCATTAGTCCATCGGTGCGACGTCTCTTTCCTTTTGTGCTTTTCTTTATTTTAAATAAGTTTCATGGTTTTATGTCATTTACTGCATAATAGATAGCTTGAATCCTCAGCTATATTGAGCTTGTTCTTATATTGCGAGTGCCGTGAGGAACAGAGCACATTGACAGAGATCAGGCTGCTTTCTGTTGCTTCTGGCACTCTCCTTCCTCCTCCATGGCTTCCAAGCTCTTGCTCATTTCTGTCTTCGTGATCGACTTGATCGCTTTTGGATTGGCTATAGCAGCTGAGCAAAGAAGGAGCACTGTAAGCAGTCAATCTGCTTCCTGTTTTCATCCTTTTTCTCACTACCTGCTCTGTTTTTGGGTTTGTAAAGAGTCGTAAATAGATTGTTGTGGAGAAGAGCATGAATTGGTTTTTTCTTCATTGCCATGAGAAATTCTTTGAAAATGAGAAGCTGTTTTGAATTTACTGATGTTTTCGCTTCTGGGTTTGTGAATGTTTTGCGAAATATCTTGTTAAGGGAAAGAAGATGAATTCGTTTTCCTGGATTGCTGAGTTTTTTTTTTTAATTCTGGAAAATGAGAATCTGGGTTTGAATTCAATGATGTTTTTTTTTTTTCTGAGAAATGCTGACGGGATCAAGCATTTGTTGAAAGTTAGATTTTTGACGTCGGGTTCATTTTGTGTTCGAACTTATGCCACAAAAAATCTCTACTCTGTTTCTATGCTGTGATCTGTCTAAGGTTGGCCAAATTGGTGTATTGCAAAATGGTTTGCGTTTGTTAACTCATCTTGGTATTCCAAATGAAACAATATTGAATAATCTGCACTCTTGCGACGTTCAATTCATGTTGGAACAGTGGTTTATTGGCTAAATTTACTAATAGACTTGCAGATCTGTACGTGCTTTATTGTTCCCCTGCTTCTACCCGTGAAGATTCGCTCTGTGATTCTAAACTCCAGATCTCTCTCTTTACCTATCTATCCTTGTGAAACTCATCCATATGCGTGAAGAAAGTTTGATTAATACGCCATCATCAAAGTGCCTGCTATTTTTTTTTTTTTTTTGGTACAGTAAAGTGCCCGCTCTTTATTCTTTACATCAAAGTACCACTTTTAATGGGCTAAGTTGTCTAATATGGATGCGAAAGCCCAATTTGTTGGGCTCAGTCCGGGACATGACTTCAGCGTGGATGGGCTTAGATCTAAGCCCAAGAATTGAGCCTCTGCAATATCAAGGCCTTCTGCGTTTGGAGGCCCGAGTATAGATTTGAACTTAAAGATGTTAACTGTTATGGATTCTTTAAGTTGCATGATAAAGTTGGGGATGAAATTAACTTGGAGCTTTGTAGTTCCTGTGTAACAGAAGAATGATATTTTGTGTGTTTGCATTTTGGCAGGCCACAGTTGTTCAGGACAAGGAAATGAATTATAACTACTGTGTGTATGACTCTGACATATCAACTGGGTACGGTGTTGGAGCGCTTCTGTTCCTCATGCTTAGCCAAGTCCTCATAATGGTGGCCAGCAAATGCTTCTGTTGTGGGAAGCCTCTAAGCCCTGGAGGTTCAAGGGCTCTTGCTGTTGTTCTTTTCATAATCTGCTGGTATGTAATATTATACACTCACTCTTCTCTGATTAAATTTAGAAAATTTAGACTTCTTTTTGAGGGTATAAACATGATGTTACTCTCAAGAGGTTAACCTTTTATTACCCATACGTAGTCATTAAATAATAACTTCTCTAGAGGTGAAGTGTTTTTATTATTAGATCTGTCTTGAGATTCACGCTTCATAAACTTGGGGGGGAAACTCAAGTCAGAATCTCAAAGTAGGTGTGATGGTCAAAACACTTGACCCTCTAGAAAAGGTTGAGTTTCTTATTGGTTAATTACTCTAGTCCTTGCTGCATTGAACTGAGTATTTTTTATATGCAAAATTCTATTGATCTTTTGCACATATCTTTAGCAAAAACATTGAATATAAAAAATTTCCACAGAATTGCTGATCCTGCAAAAACTGAACTGCCTAAACTATGTTTAGCTTCCTGATTGCAGCGCACAAACCTATGTCAAGGTCAAAGCAGCCATAACCTTACTTGTTTAGCTTCCTTTGACCTACATTTGAGGCAAAGCAGATCAACCCCTAAACCCACATTTGACCCAAAACAACTACAATATTGTCTATACATTCTGAGTCTGAGTCAAACCACATTCTACATCCAAACACACATTGCAGTCAAAGCATCCATGAACTTGCTTGTTTAACTTCTTTAGACACACATTTGAGCTAAAAAACACAGCCTTTGTTGATTGAATAGCTGCAGTCTCTGCTACATTGTGCTGAGTGATGTTGTGTGGTGCAGGGTGTTCTTCGTCATAGCAGAAGTATGCTTGTTGGCAGGTTCAGTGAGAAACGCATATCACACAAAGTACAGGACCATCTTCGGTGATAACCCACCATCCTGCCAGACAGTGAGGAAGGGAGTGTTCGGTGCAGGAGCTGCTTTCGTCTTCTTCACAACCATAGTCTCAGAATTTTACTACATCAACTACTCAAGGGCCAGGGACAGCTTCCAACCTTATGGTGGTGCTCCTGACACCGGTGTGGGTTTGGGAACCTTCAAGTGACCTCCTTAATTACCTTATTTTTTAGTTTTAAGATCGAACAATGAGATCAAGTAATTGTTGCATTTTCATGGATTCAGTCAGTTTCATGATATCCTAGAATGTTATGTGTATAACTTGTCCTACATTTCATGATTCTTTTGTTTGTGTTCTTTTATATATAGAGACGCTTTTTGTTGCCTTTGCTAAAATTTTGTTCCTTTTGTTTTATCGTATACATACCAATAAGAAAATCTGTATGTTTCTTGCATTCACTGCACCATCTACATGCTTCGTTTATATCCACAGTTGAAAGGATGGTTTTAAAAAATGTTCCTTTTTAGGTTAATAATTTCCCTGTGTTTTTTTTTTAAAAAAACCTTAGCTGAAGTTTTAAAGTCTGTCATTAATTATGAATTTAAAATTTGATAAGCTAATAGAATTCATCAAAAAAAAATTGATAAAGAGATATTATTTCTGAATAATGTATTTAGATTGAAATTTAATTTTGTTAATATTGTAGAATTTTCATATTTATTTTTAAGAATATATAGGAACATCTTATTCAAACAAAAAAAAATATATGTAACACTTCATTAAAATGTCACTTGCTCATCTGAATATACTTTTAAACTATTTTTTTTTTGCATAACTTTTATGCAGTTTATGTTTAGTTGAAAATTTTACACACATGGTAAACCATGTTTTTTTTTTTTTTGAAAAAACAGGCATATTTTCCCGTAAATTTCAAAGAATATAAGTTGCTCAAATGCATTGCTCATTAAGTAAGTAAATTACCCTCTAAATTTTAGATCTAATAGCATCATAGATCTTTAACACATTTATTATGCTAATTATTGCCTCAACTTTTAAAAATAATGCAATTAGGTTTCTGTTGATAATAAAAGTTAACTTTAACTATTATTTATTCAAAATAAGACCTTAAAAATTATAGAAAAGAATCAAAAAAAATTCTGTCCTCTTTTATATCTTTTTGAGTCATTGTTTATAATTTTTGAGTCATTTATTGTAACTTTTTTTCCAATTTTTTTATAATTTTTGTGGTCATTTTCTACTATTTTTTGGTTAATTAATAGTTAAAAGTTAACTTTTGTTAATAACAAGTACCAAATTATATTATTTTTAAAAGTTGAGAAAATAATTTACATAATAAATAAATTTAGGATTTATGATGTAACTGAACCTAAAATTTAAAGAGTAAGTTGCTCACTTATTTTCATTTTAAACATAAAGATCACAATATCCTTTATCTCTTATATTTATTACTTTTTTTTATAAACTACCTTTATTGATCGCCCACATTAATGGGGAAGTATTCAATGTAAGCTAGCAGCGTCCCCGCGTGGTGCAGGGATATTCTTGATTTCTGTACAATTTAATATTAAATAAAAATTAAATATTATGCAATATTTTTATATATGTATATTAATTAAATAGTAAATTCAGTACAAATATATGGTATAATTAAGATATTAAAACCTGTCAATTGTGACTAATAGATATTGGTCCTAATGGAAGAGGTTATATGACAGTACAAGCACAAAGTCTTGAATTTAAGTCTATATAAATGTAGAAAAATCATATCCCTCCTATTTGTTTGCAATGCTTATAATTTCTAATAACTCGTTTCTATTAACTCATCTCACAAATCAAAATTTTTTTTTATCAACAAATTGATAATGTCCTATGTGTTTTATCATTAATGCCATTCATATATTTTAGGTTAAAATATACATTTAATTCTTTAACTTTACATAATATCTTTTTTTAGTCCCTTAATTTTATAAAATATCTTTTTAATCTTTTAACCCTAATATTGTTAGTTTTATCTTGATAAAATTTTTCATAAAATAAAATATTTTTAAATGTTGACATATTAAATTTAATTTTTTTAAAATAATAATGATTGAAACAAAAAAAATAATCATTTAAAACTAATAATATTAGAATTAAATGACTAAAAATATATTTTATAAAAAATTAAAAAATTAAATTAAAATTTTATATAAAATTAGAGGATTAAAAATATTCTTTAACCTATATTTTAATTTAATATTGCATGAGATATTAAAATTTATATATTATCATTAATTGAGAGCAAGTTTATCTTTTGTGTTAGGATGTCCAGGCCCAATATATATTTTAGAAGAATCAAGATAGAATTTTTATATAATTAATTTACTAAATTCTTAGAACTCCACGTCACATGACAAAAAGAGGTTTCCAAAAGATATTCAACATGGTGTTTATTTTACAAAATATATACAAAATAAAATAAATTGTTTTATTACATATCTTTCTATTTAAAACAATCTTATTTAATTGGATAAAAAAATATAATTTTATTTAAATTACTCTTAGGTATTAAATGTAAGTAACTATCCTAACAAAGATATTGTAAAGAGTTAGTCTTTTTTACTGGCTCTAAACCTCATCAGTTAAAATGGTATATAAAAGTTCAGATAATTTTCCATCCAAAATATTTTGACCCAAGGGCTTAGAGCCCCTAGAGAATGTTTGGAATAAAAACCACACAAGCATAAAATATAGGCTATGACCATGAACCATATTTTGGGGGTAAATTCATAAATTGAAGCAAATCTTTTTTTTTTTTTGGGTAAAAGAAGCATAGTCATTTCATTGTTAAGAATAGTCTTCTTCTGCAACTTCCTGGGCCTACGTAGGCCCATAATCCATTGTACCCTAACAACATTATAAGACGACTATGAGGTGTTTGAGGAACACTTGCCGTGCGACACCAAAATTTATTTAAAATGTACCCTCCATCTTAAATTGTAAAACTATTTTAAAAAAATTTTATTGTCTCAAAATATTAAATAATTTTTTAAAAAATAAAATTTCATTAATAATATTTTTTTCAATATTACTTTTCAAGTAAAAAAAGAATTATAATGATACTGTAACGTAATTATTAAATACGAAAAGCCATAAAAGTATTTTTAAAAATTTATAATTTTACTTTAAAAAAATAAGTTTATAAACTTTTGTTGTTATATTTTAATAACGTGTAAATTTATATCAAATTATCTTGTAATTTGAAATAAAAGGAGTATTAAGTTTTTATTCTTTATACAAAGACGTTCACCGAGTAAAAATATTTATATTTATATTATCAATTGGTCAAATATTAATTTATATTTATATAAATATTCTCTTGTAAGTGGCACAAGTCACACTACATGAACATCCAGCTTAATTTTTAAAGTTCTGTACGTGATTCATATGACTAGAGAAGGGCTTAGCCCACCTCTTGTGTCAAAACCCAAAAATATGACTAGAGAAGTCTGGGTAGTCAAAAATTTTCCTTTATTTATTTTGTTTTTATAAAACAAACGTCATTAATGCTTCGAGGTAACGTGCTTATTTAATTATATACGCAAATGTTATGAATTATTCAAATACATACATCAATATCAATATATGTGGTCAACAAATAACTTCAATAAATATAATAAATTGCATTATTCATAATAGAGCAGCAATATGGCTCTCCTTAAAATTTAAACGGTGGACAAAAAAATGGGTTTTTGCTAGCCAGGCTTCAAGCAGGACATCTGGTTACAGTTGAGCCAGGCCCACCCTATTTAATATATTTTTGAAAAAAGTTATTCTTTTATTTTGTTTATTACATAAATTTTCTCAATATTTCTGATTAAATATATTGATTTTATAATTATAGTGGAGATTATTTATGATTTTAATTTTTAGTTTAATTTACAAATTCAAATTCACTTTGTTAATTTAATATCATGCAAAGCTAATGAATAATTGTCACATGGATATAATTTTTATTCAATCTATATTTTAGGTTTGGCATCGTGCTGCGGTAATACCCAACTTGACCGTACACACTCATATTTAGGATGTCATATAGCTTGCCACCAGGCATTTGTTAGTTTAAAAAAAATTATCAGTCTGCTGTCATGATGACCTAATATTACTGTTATAGATTATGCATGTGTGCTTATATATTGGCACAAGTTATATAGGTGTTCGCCAATAACAATTTGTCTAGTATAATTAGAGCTCCTTGAGAAACAAATACTTAGAGGCAAGATTTCTTTTCACCTGAATTGTTTAATGTTTAATTTATAACTTATTAATTATGTAATTTATTTGTTAATCTTATATGCATTGTTTACCTAAAAACAATTGTAATAAGCGTTTTTAGACTCGGACATTTGTCTAAATAGTCGAACCGTTGCTTGATGAAGAAAGCAGTTTGATTCAATTACTTGACCTATTCTAACAAGTAATCCAAGTTGGCCTACTTTAATCAAGGTAGTTCTTGAAAACCTAAAGAAAAACCTAAAACTTGAAACAATTAGATTATTTTCTCATTTAGCTATCATTTTTATTTAATTATTATGCTATCAGTTTTAATTGTTGGTCTAACCGATTAAATTATGAGAATCACAATTCACTTATACTTTCAGTTCATTGTCCAATTTAATTTTTAAAACATTGATTGTAATTGACAGAGCATAAAGAGCAGAGCTGGGAAATAGGTGAGCACATCCTATATGGGCTTTGACCTAAAAGTGCTATTAACTCAAAATCAATTAGTTTTTTAACTTTTTGGTTAAAGTATATTTTTAATTATTTAATTTTATATAAAGTTTTAATTTAATTCTTTAATTTTTTAAAGTATTTTTTAATCTTTCAATTCTAATATCATTAAATGATTATTTTTTGTGTAATTTTTAAAAAATTAAAAATAATATATTAATATTTAAAAATGCTTCATCAATATTTAAAAATTCAATGTAAAATTTTTTCAAGATAAAACTAATAATATTAAATTTAAAAGACTACAAAAATATTTTATAAAATTAAAGAATTAAAATAAAATGTTATATAAAATTAAAAAAATAAATTTATATTTTAACCTTACTTTTTTAAGCTGGCTCTTTTTCTAATTATTGTATTTATTATTTATTTTATAAAATTAAATCTATGATATTATATTAATATTTTCCGCGTTCCTGATTCTAACCGGGAGGGAGGTTAGAGAAGTCGCATAAGGCAACGTGGTGGGAGGGGCAGTTAGGAATGGACTGTACAGAGGGTGGGAATCTGAAGTGGTCCCTGGGAGGTTACCATTAATTACTAAGAAAGAAAGAGAGGGAAGAAACACTTCCCAAACACAAGAATTTGATATTTTCTTTCG